TACACATATATAGTTTAATAACAAAGGTCGCAGACTTTCGAGCGTTTCGAATAATCTCCTGAACACTTATTACAATGGGTAAACGAAGAATGAATTGTTTGGTTTCGAGCGTTCAAGCAATGCAGTCACTGCCGCTATTTATTCGCAACGAAATTTACTTCTTCGCTTTAGATATTTTTAAGGTGCCTCGGAAATGGAAACTAATTACGTCTAGAACACCTTACGCATCGGAAATGTTTTTCAGTTGACCTTGATTCGAGTAACTTCAGATTTTCAAGGCGCACGGATGTATTTTTCGTATTGAAATCATCGTTTGAAACGCAGCGTTCGCGATTATCTAAGTCACATGGAAGCCTAAACATTGATATTATTATTATTGTAATTAGTTATTGTATCATACTTGAAAGTATGTAACTATTTTATAAATAAATAGATAATCAATGTTCACCGGTTCGCAATTATTTCCTCTGAGACAAGTACGTGCTTGCATTTCTTATCGAAATGAAACAGTAATTGTTAAGGATTTGTGAGAAACGCAATCATTCACTTTTCTGAACAATTTTATTCTATAATTAATACATTCACCGTCGTTTCAACATGGAAACTAATAATACATAGCATTTCTCCAAGTAAAAAGATCGTAGTATATTCAGAATTAAGTCAAGTATTCCTTATAAAAATGTGAAGTAATCTACACAGTTGTACAGAAGTTAGTTAAGATTGCTGCTTTAATTTCTCCATTACCTGTTGTCCGACAAAATCCCAGTATCGCCTTCGTATCGTATCATACTTCTCCGACAAATCTTTACACATCTGGAGCAAACGTATGAACATAAATATCTACACCGAACCGATCGAGATAACGAGCATGCAAGAAGTTGAAATACCTTAAGAGCATTATTTATGTGGAACAATGAATCTCGCGATTCCTCCGATATAGATCTCTCCTGACAAATGTCTACGATGCAGGCCAACAAATGATTAGTGCGACACCCGTCCATATACAACTCCTCGCACTTCTGTCTCACTTTCTCATTATAACCCAAACCACTGCTATCTTTCATCAAAATTCTAAAAAAGTACGCGACGATCCGTATGTTAATCCAATATAATATCAGATTCGCTGCACAGGCTTGGACATTATCCAAAAAATAAATTTTTATTATTTAAAAAATAAATAAATATACCCAAGCCTGGATACTGCACAAATAAGGAACCATTATGAAAAGTACCCTCTAAGATAATTCCAAGCACTTTCGTTTCCGTTGACTAAATCTATTTTATCCAAGGCATAATCAATTTCTCTATCAACTATACTCTGCTCGAATTTCGTTGTATTTCTTATCACGAAATACCGTTGATTCCAAGCAGAATTATTGCGTATATCCTCGTTCAAGAGACGTTCCACGTATTCCAATTCGTTATCGAATAAACTGGATAGAAGTTAGCTACATTAGTTTAATCGTACCATGCATAATACTTTATCCGTTGTCTTCTTTTATCCAAATTATTATATGCGAAGCGAAGGAAATAAAATATACTAACTTAAATGTCTTTATACACCATTGGCGATACTGCCAGGCGTGATAATTCTTTGCATCCATTTTCAAAATGCTTTCTGTAAATGCCAGCTCTCCGGAAGCGTCTTGGAGCCATTCGACGATAATTTTTCTATGATGCCACATTTGATAGGTCTTAGGATAATACCTGGTCAACCCACTAATATACTTTAACTCATTTCGTAAGTCCTTCCCAAGAGCCTTAAGTATCTCCCTTCTATATTGCCATACTGTGTAATTCGCTGAATTAAGCCAGACACAATCTGTTGTCAGCGCGAGCGCGCGTTCTGACTTTTCTCCAGACTTCAAAACTGCTCGGAAATAGTCGTAGGCATCCTGAACTTGAAATAGCAATAAATATATGTAATTATTGAGAATAATTTCTAAGATTCTGCACTACGAAGCATAAAATTTACTTTATGAAATTACTAAAATTAACTTAATAGAAAATAAATAATTAATTTTATAGGATACATGCTATTTTAAAACAAAGTACTACTAACCGAGTTGTAGAATCGATCTGAGGTTATGTTTCCATAACATCAAAAACTAATCAAATACAAGAGATAACTGATAAACATATTATAGACTAAACGAGGCAAACATAATAATTACAATGAATAGCTTACATTTTTCGGAATAAGCAATTGCAACAATAGGATGAGGACCGTCATCCTGCGGTATTGGAGTTAGGTCACTCCATTCTTCCCGATCCTTGTACAATACCCAGTTTTCGTCGTCAGGTACATTTCCACAGTTGAATTCCTCTTCAGAACTATCTCCCATTTCTTTTCTTGTCAAATATTATTATTTACTACTGACAAAAATAAGCTCCTCCGACTTCGCCTCACCTTTCTCTTATCTTCAAAAACTCATTAATCCTACCTATAACCATCTGGCGGCGGAATGCTCGAACTAAACCACTCCTACAAGAATACTGCATCCACAGAAAATAGGATGATGTTCGATATTTCAAAGAGTAGACGAATGCATCGAGGGTACAGAAATGTTCGCTAGAAATTTCTACATTTATTAGATCTAATAAGAATCTAATAAGAATACGTTTATTATCAAACGAATCGAGAAAAATTAATACTTGTGGCAGGCACAAAAGATTCGTGCCGTACTTGCGATAAGAAACTATAGAAATAGCGGCAAGAATCATCTGCGCTGTTCGTACAGCGCCATCCTATGCAGTGGCAAAACTCTCGAACTAGCGAAGAACTTTCACCTAGAGTACCGGAATGAAGTATAGAAAATATACTCGACTCTTACTAACACCACGAACTTGGGATCCAGTGTCTGTGGTATTATCGCAGACAAGGTATAATATAATTATATAATTATATAATTCATTATATAGTTATATAATTATATAATTATTATTACATTAAATTATTATTACATTATATAATTATTATTATATAATATAATTATTTTGTCACCGAAAAATGGAGTTATGGTTTGCAAAACGTTATTATGCATTAAGATTTCTCGAAAATGCTTGAAGAGACATTTCACAGAAATAGTTGAAGAAATATTTTCCAAAAACAGTCGAAGACGTATTTCAAAAATATACTTTACAGTCATTAGTACGATCTGATTTTTTATTTTGAATCTGTTATAGAATGATTTATTATTTTAACAACGATCAATAGATTCTTTTTTGTATAATATCGATTCAGAAGATTCTGTTGTTATTTCTGTAAACAACCATAAATATTTGTAACAAAATATAAGGTGCAGAAATTTTTCGTTCTTCATACATGCAACATTGTTAAAAGGGGGGGTGTTTCTATCGTTTCACCGCCAGATGGTTATAGCATTTCAGTATCCGCTCAAGACATGTTTAAATAAAACCCATAATTAATCAGAATTATAGGAATCCGTGACATGAGCCAGTAGCGTAGGAGCACCAGAAATATTTTCAAATGAAATATAATAATTTCGATCAAAATAATATTATAAATAAAAATATAATATAATAATATAATATAATAATATATAATATAATAATAATATAAAATAATATAAAAATATAATATTATATAATAAATAATATTATAAAATAATATTAGTTTCCTGTCTTCATGTATATATATTTTGGTCTCGTCATTTGTTTTCTAGCACTTCGGTTGCCATTTCATTATATAATTCTTTATTAGTCTATTTCAGCCAGATTTTTGTGAATAATACGAATTCACCGGAATCTAATAAACAATTCCTTACATTTAAAACAGCTTTTTATTTGCAGCTTGTTGCACGCAATTGTAATTAATTTTCTAAAGCTTAAATATTCGAAGAATTTCTAAAAATACTATTTCGATTTCTCCTCGCGGAGGCTTCTTTTTCATTTTCGAGAGAGCAATCGAAGCTGGAAGAGCGCATTTTACGGCAGATTAACCGCAGGTCGAAAGTAAGAACGTAAATACACTGAAAATATAAAAATAGCAATCATCTGCTCGAAGAAGCAAACGTTCAGTCTAAAGGATTTCCTATAAACGATTCTTCGGTATCATCCTACGGAGATATATTTTATTTCCGAGACAGCAAATTGTAGCCAGAAGAGCATAATTTACGGTAGATCGAACGTTACTTAACAATAGTTACGGAATGATTGTACAAATCTAAAAAAAAAGTACCGACCGTTCGTTCGAGAAAGCAACGAATCGAGAAGGGACTTTCGTTGGAACGACTTCTCGAAACCTTCCCGTGAAGATTTTTTCATCTCCGAGGGCGCGAATTAAAGCTGAAAGAGCGCGTTTTAATGGCGGATCGATCGCAATTCGATAGCAATTTCACAAACGCGAGAAAACTGTTCGAGAAAACAAGATGTATTTCGTCGGAATAATTTCTCTGGAAATCATTAGCGCAACGGGCACGATTCTAATTTAAAATTTTTCGACTTATGGGTTCGACGAACCTCCCCAGGAGTTCTAGGGTGAACACCGATGTGGCACGTGTATTTTTGACTTGTGGCGGTTTAACGCTATTTCAGTAACCAAGCGTCAACTCCTACGACCCGCGCCTCGGTCCCTCTCGCCGCCACCCTCTATCGCTCTTTGTTTCCCTCCGCGATAAATATTTTTCTTCCGATGCACGGGAACGCTCGCCGTGAAATATACTAGCCGGATCATCCTGTACGACCGCGCGTGTTTTAACTATCGTCCGCCAATTAGTCACGCGGCCGAATCGAATCGACGAGAACGTTCGATCGAATTTCGCTTTCGTTCGTTTTCCGTTCGACGCGCGCAAGCAACATTTCGTAATAATTTCACGCCTAAGCTCGAACCGTAAAAAATCCACTGGACGGGGCGAATCGATTCGGGGCGGTTTCGCTCGTGTTTCGAAGTTTATCGTTATCGGATGATCGAGGATAAAAAAGATCCTTCTCGACGACCGAACAGATAGATAGATATATCGTCGGGCACGGTCGCGCGTCGATTGTTAACCCAGTTGGCAATTCGCGTGCAAAGGGTTATCTTACGCTCGCGCCGCCTTTCATTTAATTCCGTGCATGACGATCGTGTTTTCTGGAAAACGTCGTTCTGGGCCTCGTACAAAGCCGCGGGCTCGTTCTTGCTTTCTCTTTGTCGGCGGGCGAGCGCGCGCGACGGTAATTGAGAGAAAAAAAACCTCCGCGTCCGGCGCGCACAGGGTTCTCCAACTGATGCTATCATTTTTAAGACGCGTGCCTCACCCTCGTTTCGGCTCGTTTTCATTCTGGAACTGGTTTTAGCGAATTGTATCGTCGATTATCTTCGCCTCTGCTACGAGTTCGCAGAACATTCTTGCGGAACTTCTTTGTTCCTAATTGCCTCTAGAGAGAAAAAAAAGACATCTTCGTATTTACAAAGTATGTACATATTTACTTACTTATATATATTTTTGTGTTTGTGCCATTGAAAGGCATTTTTTAAATGTTTGTTACAGAATATAAAAGTTAGAAAAACGAGTTTCTTATCATTTTTTTTTGTCATCCCAAGTACAATAGCAAAATTTAAAAAAAGCATTTCAGCCATCGTCTAGTAGATTCACTATTTTCTACCATCTAAAAAAGAAATTCAAGTCATTTTAGTTGAATTTTAAAGAAGTTATTACGTTTTAGAAGGTGTGCGAATACTTTTGTGGGCCATAATATATTTAAGAAAAAGACGAGAGTTTCTTATCATTTTTATCATCCCAAGTAACAGCAAAATTTAAAAAAGCCATTTCAGCCATCGTCTAGTAGATCCACTATTTTCTATCATCTATAAAAAAATTCAAGTCATTTAGGTTGAATTTTAAAGAAGTTATTACGTTTTAGAAGGTGTGCGAACACTTTTGTGGGCCATAATAAAGTTTAAAAAAGAAACGAGAGTTTCTTATCATTTTTTGTCATCCCAAGTACAATAGCAAAATTTAAAAAAGGCATTTCAGCTATGGTCTAGTAGATCATCTATCTTCTATCATCTAGAAAGGAAATTCAAGTGCATTTAGGTTGACTTTTAAGGAAGTTATTACGTTTTAGAAGTGTACGAACACTTTTGTGGGCCAGAATAAAATCTAAAAAAAAGAAACGAGAGTTTCTTATCATTTTTTGTCATCCCAAATACAATAGCAAAATTTGAAAAAGGCATTTCAGCCATCGCCTAGTAGATCTAGTAGATCTAGTAGATCATTTAGGTTGCATTTTAAAGAAGTTATTACATTTTAGAACGTACTTATAACTGTACGAACACTTTTTTGGGCCACTGTAGAAGAAATGGATAACGATAACTCTGTGAGCTCGAACGAACGTTTCTATTGCGCACAAATGAATTTAACATCCACAACATATGAAATAATAATCGTTTCGCCCGCAATTCTATTTTGCGCGATCCCATCGAATTGCGTTATTTTTCGTTCTAAGCTCTAATACGGAGCCTGTTAATCTATTTTGGCATCGCTCTGCCTACGTTCGAGGCGGTGCTGCAACTAAAAGCCGCGTTTCTAGATAGAGCCTGGCATAATTGCATTGCCATCCCCATCGTATCATGGGGTTTGATCGCAATAGGTAAGCCTTACTTTAGTCTTGCCGATGAGGAGAGTCACAGGGATGACGGTAACTGAATGAAAGGGATCAGTATCGAGGTTTTCGGGGAGCAGGGCGATCGATGAAGACTGTTACCGCGGATCTCATGCTTCTGCGATAAATATCGATGCTTGACACTACAAGGAGTGAAAATTTCAGAAGAATTTTCGTACATTGTTCTTGAAAGTTTCCGGATTGTCGAAGCATTTCAGACCGGGAAATCAATTTCTATTTAAATCCGGACTTTCAATTGTTTCGTGCTCTTATCGTAGCGATTTTATAAATCGTTTATACAATTTTTACAGTTCTGTCCGCTGGGTCTTAACATTTTTTACGGCTACAATAATTAGAAGCTTTTTGTCTTTAACAATTTTCTACGGTAAATAGAAAACTTAGATTTATTGTGCAAAAATTGAGGATTTTATTTGTACACGTTGTTCTGATTGTTTTGTGGTATTTTTGGAAAATTTGATCCATCATGATTTTTATACGATTTATAATATGAACGTGAAATAAGTATAAGTAATATAATCTGTAATATAATAATAATGAAATACAATAAGGAGTCATAAGAGTAATATAAAAAGTGGATATTTCTTCTACGATAGAAAGAAAACTTATATTTATTGTACAAAAATTGAGGATTTCATTTGTTTACGTTGTTATGATTATGCTTGTGGTATAATTGCATCGCTTGTGGTGTTTTTGAAAAATTTGATCTACCATGATTTTTATACGATTTATAGTACGAACA